TTAACGTGCCATCTATAAACGGAAGAGTTTTGTCCAAAGTAGAATGTCTAACTTTATCTGTACAGACCAGAGCCACACCTCACTGGGAAGCTCTTTAAGATGACTGTCTTGTCACGCTAATTCATTCTGCTTTCAGTGTTAGCGGTGGAGAGTTTACAAGTTGGCAACACTGTTTTTTCTACATTTAAATTCATTGAAAATATCGATTTTAGGTGAGGCAAGCTGCCTCCCCAAGAATCGATTGTTTTACATACATTTAAATGGAGGAAAAAGAGTGTCGCCAACTTTCAAGAATCGCCATTTAGTGTTGGTCGGCTCTCGGCAGGTAATAATCATTGAACGTTCCTGTCGTACTCAAATTTTCGATTTGTAACCTGAGTTTTCTATTAATCATCCAGCGGACCGATAATCGATATTTATTGGCAAAGAAGACAAAGAGGAAATGAATCGGTTGTATTGGTTGAAATGAGTGGTCGTTACATACAGACTGAAAGAGGAAATAATGTAGGATCTCACGTACATTAGTTAGTCTATCGTGTACCTCCTTTGTCAATTGCAACCGCTTTCCACCTCTAAGGTCGCTCAATTTATCTTTCGTCTGCTTTGTCTATCACTTTGTCTATCAATATCAATAATCAGTCATTGATCAGCGCAGCGGCGGGGGAAGGGCTCTCTTTCACATAACGATCAGCACCTCAGTCTGAGCGCAATGAATTCTGATTGGGATCAATGTCTCTAAATATCATTAAGGTGCTCATTTTGAAAAACCGAAATTTCAGTCTTTAGATCTAAATCACGAAGGAATGTTCTTGCCGAAAATCATCTTCAAAAATCTTAATAAAATTTTTTCAGTTGGCAATCAGTTTCAGTTCATCGATATCAATGAGTAATTGACAACAGTATAATTTCTACTTCATTTTAAGATTTTTTAAGGTGATTTCCGGCACTTTTCTGTAATGATCGAGTCCAGAGACTGAAATTTTGATTTCCTCAAAATAACCTAGGTAATGGTTAAAAGATTAAATACCCAGAGTGCATTGCGCCAAAGCTGAGAATCCACCCTAACTCGATTAGAAAGTTTGAGTCCAGTTGGCAACTTGGTGAAGGAGAGCTCATTAGCAGGTTATGCAACGGGATTTAGCATACGCAAAACTATGGCGAAGCTTGAATCATTGGCCGTGGATATTTTCCCATTTGAAACTGTGGTGAAAAATCGATTATTGAGGTGCTCGTTGCGAATACCCTTATAATCGATCCATTTCCTTTGGTTTAAACGGCAGGTAGATCGATTTATCGTAAAGCACGACACCGACTCGGAACTTAACACTCGCCGCGCCCCCCTCTTCCCCCCTGGTGGCGGGGTTCTCCAGGTGTCCAGATAAATCGAGCTGCGAGACGTATCGACAAACGACTTATTTTGACAGGCACCATTAACACCCATCGCGTGTTTCATAGCGGCTCTCGGCTCTAATACCCGGCTCACAGAGGCCTATATTTGCATTGCTTAACACCGCTCACATGACCCCGCGCCCGCTTCTCTTAAAATGTCTTTATTCGATGCAAACAAAACCCGAGTATTAAGCTTCACCGCTCGAACATTCTGACTTAATCAACCAGAAACCGCCTAAATGCATTTCATGTCGTTTTCCCCCCGTTTTTTTTTAAATAATTGTTTGATTTTAGCCGCTAACTTCGCACACTAGGGCGCCCTGCGATTTTCAATCGCCTTTCCAACCTATGATTACGATCATCACGGATAAAGTGCCAAGGCTTAAAAAAGGTTTTTGTCTTGAGGTGTAATCATTTTTATCTTAATTTTGACAACGTGGCTCAGCGCCTCGTACAAAACGATGGCACTTGCGCCTTGTTATCTCCTCTTAATTGTGTAATTAACAACTCAGTGCTTTCTTGTATCATATTCATGTCTGAGGATCCAACCCAGGTCGAGGTATCAAATATCAATGGATTCCGCTCCTTTCTCTAGGAGAGGGCCTCGCGCCTCGCTCTCCACGACTCGCGGCGTGCTTTGCGAGGTATCGATTGATCTACCATTTAAACCTATGGAAAAGGATCGATAAGTTCCCAACCAACACCTTAGTAATCGATTCTTTACGATAGCTTCAAATCGGGAAATTCCGAAAATCGATCATTCACGCTTCGCCACTGATCAGAAGTGATGACACTTCTAGAATCAGAGTTGTCAGACCATATCATAGTCCTTCGAATTTTTTAGTCATAAAAGAAAGTTTGTCGATCATTTTGGCAAGCATGAACAAACAAACCTGTTTTGATGGCGTTGAAAATAATCCAGTTTTTCAGTTCCGGCCCGTCCTTTTCTCAATCACACCTTTTAGTAACGCAATGTTGGGTCGAAATTTACTCCAAAAGGATATATGTCATCGGTCATTATTTCGACTTTCATTAATTAGACGAGCAAGTCAACCGTTACTAAAAAGCAAGACTCTCGTCTAATTGTAAAGTCAATTTTCGATTTTTCTTACTTTGAAGGATAGTACATGATAATGTCTTGCGGTTCCTTCGAGTGTAAAAGATATACCTATAAGACTTTCTGGGCATACAAGCATTGCACTAACCTCTAAAATGTAAAATTGGGGGATGTAAATGATACTAATAAGGATCGCAATCATTACTCGACTACTATATGTCGCAAATCACTTCTTTTAATTGTATACCCATGGGTGGAATTGTGAATTTTTATCGAGAGGCACAAGAAGGCCCGTCATCAAGGGGGATCTAGGATGGCACAGAAAGGCATCTTACCAGGGGAAGGGGAGTCAGAGGGGACTCCTTAGCTACGGCGAAAGATGTACTGGGGCTTCAGGGAAAATTTAGGAAATTGACACGTTTTAGGATCGATTTTGAGCCGTTTTTACTGAGAAATTGATTGATATATAATTACTTTGATGGCAGAAATCTTCGTTCTTCTCACGGAATAACGAAACTACTTTTCCATGTTGCCAAATTCCACCCAGAAAATTGTATTTTTGCCAGGAAAATTTTGGAAAATTCTATCTGACATTTCGCTGATTTTTCTTCTAATCTTTTGCAAAAATCAGAAAAATTTTCAATAAGAATTTCACAGGTATTTCTTGTGAAAACTCGACATTTTTTAGTTTATTTTGCAACCTTGGAATAGAGTTACGTTCCCTCGTCCGGGAAACTGCGAAATGGACTACATCTTGCAATTTGGAACCATAAATTTCAGCCCAGTTTAAAATAACAACGTATGCACCATTATTTTCCCTATGCTTATAAGTGTTTCCCAGAAGAGCCAGAATTTACAGTTCCAAATAGCAAAATGCTGTCCAATTGTCAAGCCTACATTTCGCTTGAGCTCTTAAATTTTCTAAAGGGGGTCTGGTAGAGTATCCATGCGGTGGCAAGCCCGCCGCCGCATTCTGCTCATGATTTCACGGACAGAAAATTTTGAGAAGTTTGATGGAAATTTTCCCCACTTAACTCCGAGGAGAATAACAAAAAACGCTGATGCCTTTAATTCTGTACCGCCGGCTCCAATCTGCTCCCAATAAACTAGGGCATAGCGTGATTTTGAATCCAATGACCACTCCGCACAGAAAAAGTTGAGTCATTTAAATTCAAACCAACGATGACCGACTTTAAATCTGACGAAAAACAATAAATCACTCTTAACAGCAGGGCGGTCCTAGCCCAGAAATGCACTCTTCACATTCCGTCACTGCTATTTAGTCGAAGCTGTTGGTGTGCGTGAAGTTTTCCAGTGTGCTTTACGTCTCGATAAGAAAATTACGTACTTCCGCGTCGGATTCTCGAATTGAATCTATGTGAGCTAATAACCATAAAACCGTCACCGCATCTTGTCATTAATTGTGTGGATATAATTGTAAGTCTTCGATGAGAGACAAGAAGTTGATGTAAGTTCATTTGTAAAAAAAAAAAAGTTCCATAACCAACGTCAAAATGTTTTTCTTGGGAAATTCCTGACTTAAAGTCCACCGAAAAGGAAATGCAGAAAATTTCGAACTTATTTTGGTGCACAAAAAGTTAGTCGCGTTGCCGCGTCTCTATAAGACTTAACGGTACTTTTTACATAAATCCAAAGTAACTACAACTGGCCACATTACCGTATAGGCCTGGTATGCTTTTGGTTTTTCATATCGGCGAAACTTATTATATTTGTTTTTGTTTTTTTCGCCTCATCTTACCTCCTGATTTCTTCTTCTTCCCTCTTTTTGACTAGAGGTGGGGGAGTCATGCCGTTATAACTTCTCCTTTAGATCCGCCACATGGAAGCTTTAGATCCAACCAAGGTACTACTTATATACTGCCGTGCTGAGGAAAAACGCCGTATGAGCCTTCAGACGTTGCCAAATCTCCTTTGATAAAACAAGAATTTTTTAGAAAACTTATAAATATTTTTTTTCCAATTTTTCAGATACTTTTGCTCGCAATTTCATCTTAAGTTCCTGAAAATTTCAAGGAAAAATATTCACAACTTTCCTCAAAAATTAACATTTTATCGAAGGAAATTTGGCAACTCTCGAATGTCCATACGGCGTTCTTCCATTTGGCACGGCGGTATAGGTACTCTAGACCCAACTATCGTTCATGTTTAAATAATCGCTAAATCGAGAGTTGCCATAGTCAGGGAAAACCGGGAAATGTCAGGGAATTTTAAAAAGTCAGGGAAAACCGGGAAATGTCAGAGAAAATAAGAATGTCAGGGAAAATTTGTTAAATCTCCTTCATTTGCTTTCTAGAATCGGTTTGAGGTTTCGAACAACAAATTTTGCCTGAAAACCAATTATGTCTTCTTAACCATCCTTCACATCTTAAATTATCAGGGAATTTCACCAAAATTAGTCAGGGAAAACAGGGAAATGTCAGGGAATTTCATTTTCTAAATTCCGTGGCAACTCTGCCTATATAGGTACTCTAGACCCAACTATCGTTGATGTTTGAATAATTTCTAAATCCTTTGTTTCTTGTGTTTGTTTCAGAGTTCACATGTCCGGGAAAACGGCGGCCCTGTCGCTCCACTCGACGCGCGCGAGTCACCTGGGGCAGATGGGCCGGACCCGGAGCGCGCCGTCGATGCACTCCTGACTAGCGGGCCCGGAGCTGGCGTCGCCGTCCGTCATGGGGATCGGCGTGGGGGCGGGAGCCCCGTCCCGGNCCCGGGGGCCCGCGCGCCCCGTCGCCGTCGCCGCCGGGTTCGCCCCGCTCGTCGTTGCCGTCCCGGCCACCCTCCCGCACCCCCACGGCCACAACCCTCCCGTGGCCTCCGCCATGGAGTCGGACGTGAGCCAGGACTTCCAGGACTACTGGAACGAGTGCCGCATCATCCAGGAGGCCAAGCGCCTCGACGAGTACCTCGACGAGGAGTACGCCAACATCTCCAACGGCAAATGCTTCGAAGGTCAGTCTCTAGTCTAAGCTAGAGTCCCTTTATACTGAGAGTCAAGACAACACCCCTCATGGAGTCACAAACGGGAATAAAGATTACAGAAATTGAACGTTCTTTGTAGTCTTTGATCGGCCCATTCTCAAACTCCTTTCTCCGTTCCTTCTCTCATTCCGTTTGTTCCTTGCCGAACCCGTAATTCCCTGGTCCATTCCAGATTATAATCTTTGCAATCGGTGAAAGTGTAATCTTTATTGCACTATTTCCACATTGTTTGTGACACTGCGAAGGCCTAAAATACGGGAACCAATCAGAAATAGATTCACATTATCTTGATTCTCAGTATAAAGGGACTCTAGTCTAAGCCTTCCAATCTACTCAATGGGTCAGTTGCGCCGGTCACAGAGTCGTGTTTTGATACTTCCCTGGTAAAAATTGGCAGTAGAATGTGTGTTCCAAAATACTATAGACCTAAAGCCGGCCGTAAGATTTCCAATAGCTTCTGTAGCCGCCTGTACAATTTCTTATAGCCTTTTATAGCCGATGGCGATTAAACAACAGCCAGACGATAAAGTTTATGCTAAACGTTACTAAATACGGATACTAGGACTTAGTTAGTTTTTGGACTGCCGCTCTCTTTTTGTGCCGTAGTATCTTGATTTATTTTGCGAGGAAAGCTCCTTACTTTTGAAGGATGCCTGTCATTCTTAATATGTTAGAGCGCCTTCAATTTCTTATGGTACTGTGCAATACCTCTGGTGTGAAATAGTTGCTTCAGACGCCGTGGCCACGCTGCGGCACGGCGGGCGGGCAGAGAGCGCGAAACGCGCATTGACGCGTACAAACCTAACAGGGATACTTCATGCATTGCGCAATGCGTGAAGTATCCCTGTTAGGTTTGTAGGCGCTAGTGCGTCGCCGCGCAATGCGTGAAGTATCCATGTTAGGTTCGTAGGCGCTAGTGCGTCGCCGCGCAATGCGTGAAGTATCCCTGTTGGGTTTGTAGGCGCCAATGCGTCACCGCTCCGCTTTGTGTTAGGCTCTAATATTTAATCTCGCGGAGTCAGCGTTTTTCAACTCATGATTTTGAAATATTTGTACACTCTGTATGGACCATCTCATTTTAATTGATGAAAAAACAATATGTTTTAAAGGAAAATATAATGTGTGTTTTGTAAATATTAAGGTAGTTCCATATCAAACTTAATGATTTCCAAAGCACACGAATTTCTACACGATTTCTTATAGCCTTTTATAGCCAATGGCGATAAAGTATAAAGCCCGGCGATAGGAACTGTAGCCCGACTGTATACTTTTTTATAGCTTCGTATAGCCCGGCCATATGATTTGCTCAGCTTTCTACAGCCAGCTATATGATTTTCAATAACCTTCTTTAGTCGGCCATAAGAACTCCTATGATATTTTGAAACGCACCTCGTATCGCCAATTTTTACCAGGGTTGATTCTTGTAGATCAGCTAAAAATAATTAGAGCCGTCCAAACCGCAAGTTTCTACGTTCAATAGTAACCGAGATATCGCCCCCTGAAAAGTCGGGTTCTTGACGTCATCCACCGCGGTAGTGGCACCCTTGGTTTCCTCCACCTTGCCTTCATCCAAGTTTCACGTTGAGTAACCAGTGCATCACTGACCGATGGTGAAGACCGAAGAAAGGTGGAAGAACCAAGGGTGTCACTACTGCGGTGGATGACGTCAAAAACCCGACTTTTCAAAAGGTGATATTTCGGTTAATATTGAACGTAAAATGTTGCGGTTTGGAAAGATCTCATTATTTTTTAGCTAATCTACAAGAATCAAGCATCAAAACACGATTTTGTGACCAGCGCAACTGGCCCATTTCGACTCGAACCACAAATCTAGAAATGTCGTTCTTGCGCTCTTATTAAGGAGACAAAATTCATCGGTTAGTCAGTCGACGTAGAACTTACAAGTGCAGATCTTTTGGAAGAAATGAAATCATCAACTATTCGCCTTGGTCTCGAGTAGGTATCATCTCGGTAACGCTTGCGTCATCGATGAGTACCTCCATCCGGCGATGACTTGGTATTTGGAAAAAAATTACAGCGTCCAACGATCACACACTTGATACCACTTATACTAAGCACCTCGTGTTCACCAAGCACCAAACAATTAGCGTGAAAAAGAGACGTGTGCGAAGTGGGATCCAGGTGATGAAGCGAGAAAACCACTACGTGTACGGCCGTTGGATCTGGTGCCACGAGATGGTAGCCTAGTTCAGCTCCAGTTTACTTTGGGTTATTTAACACTCGTTCTGAGAGCGTTGTGTAACGCCGAGAGATCCACACTGACAAATCCGACAATCCACCATAAAAATCGGCCCCCGTCCAATTTATCGACCGACATTCGAACAGAATAATATGTCTACCGCGGATCGCGTTCAGGAACTCGTGCACGAGAAAACAAATGGAAGATTCCCCGATCGCCTTACAGTGGATCCAGTCAATAAGAGAGACCAGACATAATTTGGACATTTTAAATTCTTATAACTGCGTTTATATAAAATTTTGAGGTTCTGAAAATGGTTCCATTGGTTTCCTCGTGAAATTTTCTTCTATTAGCACCCCTTGAAATTGAAAATGTGACGAAATAAACGTCGAACTTTGCAGTTTTAGTCAAAAATGTCATGTCCGACCTCTCTAATTGACTCGATTCACTGTGCGCCGAGAGATTCTTATCGTGCAATGCTGTCGTGCTGAGGAAGAACACCATATGAGCCATCAGGCGTCGCCGAATTTCCTCTAATGAATCTGAAAATTTTGGGAAAATTTGTGAATATTTCTCTGCCAATTTTTCATTGGATTTCGTCCGTGCTTTGATCTAAAAAGTCTGAAAAGTTCAAGGAGAAATATTCATAACTTTCCTCAAAAATAAATATTCCCCGAGAGGGAATTTAGCAACATTCTAATGCTCCCTCTGCGTTTTTACTCAGCACGACAGAATGCTTCACTGGTTTCCTTTGAACTCGAAAAAAAAAAACGACGGCTTCGATGCAAAATTCTATTTTGCTTGATTTTTCCCGACTGGCGATCGATTTGTTACACTGAAAGAGCGTGAGTTTTCATTTGTCTTGGATTCCCAATGTGCAATGGTGCATCTCTTTGCGTGGGAAGTTGGAGCATAAAGCCCCCAAAAAATGCCAAGGAAAAAATCCAAGCTCCGATGTGAGCAGAATCTTTTAGCGATCATTTTCTTGGAAGCTCAATCCAGGGACGCAGAAAGTTTTTAGCCTTCCCAAGAAACCATGGCATGCACAACCGCGGTGAATGACGTCACACGCTGTGTTTTTCGAGGGGTGACATCTGCATTCACACTCGACGTAAGAATCAGGCGTTCGGTCTGATCTTATTATTTCTTGTCAATCTATAACTTTATACTACCAAAACGTGATTCTTTGACCAGCGCTATGGACACCCACAAATTCTCCATCGGAAATCTTTGGTAAGCCCTTGATCCTAGGTTTGAAAAGCTGGAATATCTATCATGTGCCTGGATGTGAGTAGAGTACCTGTATAGCGAGAGTATGGACAGATCGCTTCACGGAGGGCTTAGGGCCCAAAAGTGCAGCCACCCTTCTAACCAACTTCTAACGCACAAAATTTCACTGTCAGTCTGCAGGTTCCAATTCTAACCAAGATGGCCAAGAATGTACAGAAATGAGCGTTCTTCTGCAAAATTGAGTAAATTTATGCAAAAACTGAGTCGAACACGTGCTTAATAAACGACGGTTCGTAACAATAGTATTAGTAAATCGTTCTGGATAATTGAAATTCATAGGTTGGCTGCATTTCTGGGCCCTAACTTTATTCGCAGAAGCATCGTTGAAAGCCTGATGGATTTTCGGAGTTTCACATCTGTCCATACTCTCGCTATACAGGTACTCTAGATGTGAGTAAGGTGGATGGTGTTGTGACGGAGTCTCGTTTTGTGTTTCAGAAGGCGAACAAGAGGCTGAATGGCTGGACGCAGCTGGATTGTCGTACCTGACGCAGGCCTACCGGCGGGGCCAGGAGATCGCCGACAGCGAGCTGGACCCTGCCGTCCGCTTGCTCAACTCGCAACAGGCCGAGGCCGTCCGCAGAAGGGTCCGCTCCCTCAACCACACCGTCCGCCAAAGAGGACGCCAGTACCGCGCCCGCCACAAGAAGCCCGATATTCGGGCAGTTTTTAAAGATGTCGAGGTGAGATATTACCGCCAGCCACTAAGAACCATGCAAAATACGCAACAAAATTGAGACAAGGGTGGTTTTGAGCTCGTATTGTACCTATACAGTAGGTACGATTCAAAAGACCTGCACTACCAGTACTGCCATGCTAAAGAAGAACGCCGTATGAACATTCGAGAGTTCCCTTTCCTTCCATAAAATGTCTATTATTGAGGAAAGTTATGCATATTTGGACCACGTTAAACAGAAAGGAACCAAGCCACATCAGCTATTGCCAAATTCAACAGGGAAATTTTATTTTTTACGAGAGAACTTTCGTGCGGATTGCTTTGAAAATTTTAAAGAATTTGCTTTGTATTATGGAGAAAATTTACTACAAATTTGCACAAAATTCCGCACAACCGTTTTCATGTAAAAAATTAAATCGCCCGATTAAATTTGGCAATACCTGATGTGGCTTGGTTCCTTTCTGTATAACGCGGTCCATTTTTTCTTGAAATTTCTCGAGGTTTGAGAGAAAATTGTGAACAAAATTACCTGAAAAATTGGAGGAGAATTAATCAAAAATTTTCCCGTAAATATTTTTTTTACTGAAGGCAACATGGCAACGTCTGAAGGCTCATACGGCGTTTTTCCTTAGCACGGTAGAGTACCCGGCATCATCCGTTCACCTTCTGTACAGATTGAGGTAGAAACTTGAAATTTTTTGTGTCCACCCAGGCCAAAGGTAATGGATTATCAGACTCCCGAAAATGTTAATCCTGAAAACCTGGTGCTATACTGCCGTGCTAAGGGAAAACGCTGTATGAACATTCGAGAGTTACCAAATTTCCTTCGATAAAATGTTAAGTTTTGAGGAGAGTTATGAATATTTTTCCGAGAATTTTTTCAAGAGCCTTAGGTAAAATTGCGAATAAAATTATCTGAAAAATTGGAATAAAAATATCTGAAAAATTGGAATAAAAATATTTAAAAATTGGAATAAAAATATTTAAAAATATTCCCGAAAATTCGTAATTTACCTAAGGAAATTTTGCAACGCCTAAAGGTTCATACGGCGTTCTTCCTTAGCACGGTAGTATAGGTGCGGGACTTTTGGATCACCTTGTAGAAGCATTTCTCCAAAAATCTGATGTCTGCAAAAAAGGAATTCGAAGTTTGTTTTTTACAATGGGTCATACAAAAGAATAAAACTCAAAATCCATTTTTCTCACCTCCAAATCCATTTCACTTGTCTAGACTGTCGAATTTGACGTATTTTATGAAGTAGTAATGAAGTGTTGAAAATACAATGAAGAAAGTAAGAAGTCACTTTAGTACTGGGTCCAGGAACTTGTTTTGCTTAAGTCTCAAATTTTTTCATTTCTATTTTCTCGACAGAACTGTAGCACGAGTTCCAGATCAAGGAGCGCAACACCAGATTCTTTAGATTCAAGTCCTCCCAGTCCTCCTCTATCATGGTCATCTACCAATGTTCCCTGCATCATGTACCCAGATCCTGTGACAGAATCGTAAGTCTCCTTCACAATGTTTATCGTGCGGAAAATTATTTTATACTTACACAGATTTATACTTATGTATAAGTTAATTGAATCGGGACGTGCGAAAACCGCTAATGTCCATTTTTCTAGTCTTCAGTTTTTTTGAGTTGATAATACTTTTAAAGAGTTGATACAACCATAAAAGTGATGAAAGGACTCGTTTTGGGATTAAAGTAACCAGGAGACGAGTGTTAACACTACTTTTGTGGCTGCATTCAATTCCGAAAAGTTATCAACTCAAAAAACTGAAGATTGGGAAAATGGATACTAGCGGTTTTCACACGTCCCGATTTAATTTTACTTTCAAGTATTTTGCTAAAGTTTTCAAAGAAGCAAAATTTTACCTACAAAAAAAGATTTCTTTTTTAATAGGTCAAAGCGATTAAAAGTGAGGAGTTTGTCTGTAGAAGGGTGTATTGCAAAATTGGTCTTTGATTGGAAAATCAATTATACGCATCAGGGCACCCTTGGAAACACTCCGGCATGTTTTCATGTTCATCCTCCTATGCGGAATTATATTTAAAAAATGTGCAAAGCCATTTTCTCGAAGCTTCAAATGAATTTTTCTCAAAACGAATACTTATTTTTCGAAGACGCCCCTCTACAAACAAATTCTTCAATTCAAAACAAGATACCTATTACTTAATTGACGTAAAAATGAAATCGGATTGAATAATCATTTTCAATACGTTTTTGATATCTACTTAATATGTTGATTAATTTCCACCTTTACATACCCAACAATTATGAAGTAACTTACTCATGCAAATTGTATCATTCTAATTAGCTCGAAGTACTTTCTTATTTCATAATTTACGTTCATAAATAATCAATAACATCTTTATAATTTTTATGATGTGCTTTCCTTTTAAACTGAATCGACTATGAAATTAATCTTTGTGCAAAGTGAAACACTTCGCACGATCATTCATGCTATGAATATATTTTAATTGTGAAGCACGCACGCAGATTACTAATCTTTATGTTAGTTGACACAAAATGATCTTGAAATTTTCAAGTTTACTCTCAGTGGAATAGAGATAAAAGCAAGCTGCTTAAGCTTCAGAATTTCATCATGTGGTTGTTTTCAATTTTTATTTTGACTGTGCACTCCGTCGAAACTTAAAAATAATAGTTAGTATGACAAATGTGCTTATCTCTAAGTGGCTCTCCAGAACTAAGCACAACAAAGTCTAACTGAAGGTATTTTTACAATTTTTTTTTCCGAACTTTGATGTCATAATAGCTGTTCAATCCTAAAATTTGAGGTTCATTCTTCATCAATTATCAGCTCATATTGATTGAAGAACAGTGTGTCATACAGTATTGATAACAGTATGAGGAACTTATCACAATTTTCAAAAATAGGTAGGTACTTTCAGGTATTGCCCCACTTTCAGTTTGCAAAAAATGTTCATTAGAAGTGAAAAATCAAAATGCATCCTAAAATGTTAATTTAGACTAGTGCTAACAGGCTGATAACAGAGTGCACTCATATGTCACTCGATAAATTTTGATACCATAAAAGGTAAAAATTGTCCTTTTCAAGTAAGTTTAATTTGATACATTTTTCAGGCCCGTCACTTCACCAAGTTTTGTGCAAATTTTTGAGAATGGAGTTTGCAGAAATGAATCAAGGGATGTGCGACGATTGCCAAGTGCCCCTATTCTTTCCAGTCGTGAACTTTTCCGCAGGGCAAGCAAAAATGGCTCCGATATTGTCGCATCAGAGACTGGTAATTAAATTTTATGTTACCCTCTTTTTTAGTATCATCCCCTCAAACTTCAAAGAAAGACATCAGTAACTAATAGATGTTCAAAACTTCTATTTCTTTTCAGTAATCTATGTCCATTATTAGTTGTAATGAAATTAAGTACTAATAATACAAACATACATGAGTCGCTTTTATAGCACTCTCTGGCGCTTTGCAACGCCTAATCGTCACAAAACTCGGTCTTCCCATAGGTCAACAGGGAGTTGACACTCCCTCATCTCATATAACACCCCCTGTCGCCACCCTCTCACTGGGCGTCCCCTTTGTCTCCTCCCAGGAGGAACCCAGTCAAGCATCTATTTTGGCAGCCTCTCTTCCGTCATCCTATTGACATGACCGTACCAGACAATGCCAGTACTAATAATGCCATGCTTAAAACCATTCCTGGTATTCATATACGTACCATACATAATTTTGATTTATTTATTATTGTTCGCAACATGAATTCTTTATGCTTCTAATGACTACAAATTTATTTCAATGTGAACAGCAGAGGGTATCACAATGTTGGGTTATCATCGAATCGGATCTGTACGAGGATATCCGTTACTGGAAAGAAGCCATGGTGCTGCCACTCTCTCGTCTCATGACACTAGTTCAGACTCTAGTCATTCAGAGTGAGTTTTACATTTTTCCTCTGGTTTTTGAGAAATGTGGTGTGTATAATGTCTCCTTGTGATCTTGAAATCCAAAATTTAATTTGACAATTTTTCATTGAAAAAGATTTTCATCCAGCCAGTGTACATGTGAGAAGATCCAGAAGTAATCAATTACGTATCAGATAAATTCAAAAGGCCCTATTTCAGTCATTATATTTTGACATGACATTTTAACTTCAAATAGTTCAAACGATTCAACAAAGTATAATTCAAATCACTTAAAAATGGATTAACAATTTTCCGCACAAAAATGTTTTGTTGCAAATCGGAATTCTTCCCAGTAAAGTCTCTAATTTTTAATAGCATTATAAAGTAGTTGTTTGCAATTTCAACAAAACAGGAACCAAAACTGTATCACTGATAATCGCTTTGTTCTGTTATTTTAAAGGTTGGATATACCAAGAGTAAATATTTCCAGAAGTCATGGAAGTTTGTACGAACCTCGAAGAAGTAGCAATGAGTCATTACCTCGCAGCTCATCGCAGGAATGCCTCAGTTTTGAAGAAATGTGGCAGCATCGGGAATCAACTAATCAACCTCAGGTACTTAAAATTATTTTACGCATGTATATTGTAGTCACTTTTGCGGCACACTACAGCACTCCGCGACACCAAACCACCTCTGGAATCTGTGAAGGTAGAGATTTTCTGGAAGCTGGCATCACTCCATCTCTTTTTAGATGTTATCTATCCATCTTTTAGCAAAACCTACTCTATGGCGTTCACCTGGAGGAGCTCACTAAAACATCTTTCGGCAACCGAGCACACAACAATCACTCTGCATATGCCCATACCACACCATCTGCTTGCACATGCTAATGTGTACAAATTGTCTCCTCAGCGCCCATGATCTCTTGGACACGTTCATTTCTAACACGTTTTCTCCTCAAGATTCTAGCCAATCTTTGCCAGAAATCTGTCCCTGTTGCCCTGAACAATTGGTTTTCACAGGAGTGAACTGCAGAACTGTAAATTCATGGATATATGGTAATTCAAGAGAGGAATCTGACAGAGAATAAATCAAATTTCAATTTTGTAAATTAGTATTTGCAGTGACTGATTCTTGACCATTAAAGAACCAACCTAGAGAGGTAGTGAGTCAGCCGTTTGCAGCAACGCAGCCACTTTTTGTCATCAGCTCATTGGCACGGTTGGAACTAGGTGTAGTGCCTTAAACAATAGAGATTCTCGTCTGTATCAGTTTCATAAACTGTATATTGTCAGCACAGACACATGAAGTAAAAATGTAATCCCACAACATTGTACATTAAAACTTTGCTCCCTTTCTTTGGGAATCTAGTGGAACGTTTGGAAGAACGTAAAGCTCACAATTTTCTATCTCTAGCTCAACACAGTTTTTGTTTTCTTTCTTTCTTTCAGTAGAAGAGAAATATTTTCAGTTTTGTGACCAAAATGTTCATATTTTTATTATTTTTATGTTTCAGTGTCAACCTATTGACCATCAACAAGATGAAATGTTGGTGGGGAGAACATGGGTCGACTCTCTAGGAGAAGACGATTTAGTTAAATTACGACCCCTTATCTTCCTAGAGCTCACAGCCTTATTGGACAGTTCTGGTATTCGATTTCATAAAAGAAAGCCTCACAAAAGGAAGAGAAAAGAAGGTTTGAAATGTTCATTCAGTACTTATTTCCTGTACAGAAAAAAAGAAAAAGGGAGGGAAAAAGTTAATTTTTCTTTGCTGAAGGAGGTGGTTCCTATTTAACTTTTTCCCTCCAAAGGGCAAAATTCAACCTCAGTAGTTAAGAGAAAATACAAAATAAAATTAATGTTTTTGATAATTTCTCTTGGAGAAAGTGCTTTTTACAATTCAGTGAGTCATTAGATATCCATAAAAATTTAAAATCACAAATATGACCAGATTTAACTTTTTGCTCGCCGAAGATAGCTTAAACTTTGCTAATATGATGGCTGCAGGGGGAATCAAGTATGGATAGGATATAGATGACCTCTGATAGATAATTTCCTAAAAATTTTGTTCTTTTAAGGAGGTTTGTCTTCATTTTTGTGAAATTGTAACTACATACATATTCTTTATATAGAAAACAAGAGAAAAAAAATTTAAAAATTTCACTTGCATAGAATGTGAATCGGCTCATTTTTCTCAATCTCTGAGATTTGTGACCCAATGCCGCAGCTTGGGTTTGTTTCCTCTAAATTTAGCCAGAGATTCATACTGGAAAAGAATCGCAAATGCGGGCTCATATGTAACAATAGCGGATGTCGAGTTTTCACATTGTGAGAAAATCGCGTTTGAAGTTTTCGAAGCTTTGCACTTTGCCGCCTGTAGAATCGAGAGAATTCTTATAAAAATTTTCATGAAGAGCAACCCCTCCTGTAAAAAACACACGTTTTGAGATCTATGTAAGTGAAAAATGGAAGGAGTAATAGCGATTTAAAAAAAAATGTGACATCCCCTGTTTTCACTGAAAACGTTTTTTTTATGTATGAAACAAAGTTTTTAGGAAGGATAAGGCTGGTGAAACGATTGAAATGAACCAAAAGTAAGTCAGTGCTGAGTCATTTAATAAAATTGAACAAAAAACTAAACCGTTTGTAACTTCTACAACAAACATAAGGAACTAATTATAAAATCGGTTAAAAAATCAACAATTCTGGCGAGACGGTCCCGATACATATAATTTGAGTGTCAGCTATAGACCATAGTCGGTGCGCAGGCAGTTATTGCAAGTAGGTTCGAATCTGCACAATGTCCTGCCGCGCCGGCGGGGGAGAACAGTGGATTCTCACTACACATAACGTGCTTTTCAGTTCATATCTCGCTGAAAAATTGCGCTGCAAGCCTGAAACTTTGCACAGGCATTCTTGGGGGCTCCAGAATTCGAAAAAAGCGTTTGCCTTAGAAATGGCGGATGTCAGCGACTGCTATTGTCATATATTAGTCCTCAAATATTTTCTGAATGGTTACGTTGATGCTAACAAAACTTTATATCAGATTAGGTGTGAAAAAAAAAAAAAAAAAACTCAATCTTTCTTGAATGTAACTGCAGTTTTTAGTTGAATGACTCACTCTGCGATGCTTAATAGGTTCCCATTTTGATTAATTACTTCTGTTTAATTGTAACTCTGTTTTTATTTCAGATGGTCTCATTTTTGGTGTATCCCTTCAAACGCTCATAGAAAAAGATGCTGCCATTTCCAGTGAACCTCATAATGTGCCATTAGTCTTTCAGAAAGTAAGAAATATGTGTATTCTAGCTCGGTAACATAGTATCAATCCTTAAAATTTGCATAAATCTGAAACTTCTAACTTTTCCCTTAGTGGTTGTGGAACTCTAAAGTCTCCAAGGCATCCAAATTAGAATTAGACATTGCGTAAGGAAATGCTGCTAATAAAAAAAAAAACGAATTTTTAATTTGAAAATGAATAAAATCAGGAATCGAATGCAATAACCATAGTATTTTACAGCTAAAACCAGGTGAATAATTAAGGTTTGTGGTCTAAAAGAGCAAAAAATTATTGAAACAATGATGAAATCAGGCAATGAGACGTAACTTGTGTAATAAGGGAATTTAGAGTAAATGTCCTTTTGCGAGGCTTTGAAATTTCTGGAAAATCCTAGGTAAAGCACGTCTAAAATTTTTATAATGACTTTTTAGTTTAAAAACTTTGTTTTAAGTTGTATCATCCTAAAGAGTTAACTTGCTTTTAAATCTAAAAGTGCATTTTAAAGCATCCCACCTCCATGAGAATATGGGAGACTGAAAATTTTATGAAAAAGCAGATGTTTTGATTGGTGAATTGACTTTCATGAGTCTGAACGGTGACAGCATTGAAGATTGTCTATGTAGATACTCCTAATTTCAATGACAAACCTAATCTTACTCAAGTTCACAAAGCATTCTATCTCAATTTTACAGATTTTGAACCAGTTAGAAAAGCGAGGGCTCCGAGAAGAAGGAGTGCTCAGAGTAGCATCTCATAAACAGCGTGTGGATCGATTGTGCACAGAATTGGAAGCTGTTTTCTATTCGCAGCCAACGCAGGCAGAACAAATGCTTCAAAGTTGTTCGGTGCATGATTTGGCGGCTCTTTTGAAGAGATTACTTCGAGATATCCCTGAGCCTCTTTTTACCAACGAATTAATTGATCTCTTTTACCAGTCTCACGGTTAGTATAAATGTAAACATTAAATTTTAAGCAACAATATGAATGTCGCGCAATTTTTCTCCACTGCGCTTTTGTTTTTATTTGACAACTGACATAGTCATGTCTTTGAATGAATGCAAAGAACCACAAGAATGGACCATTTTTAATTTGTGTAGAACTTCTTAATTCTTCTCTATGTAATTTTTGTTTGTAAAAATGTTCTTATCATGTGTGCCATATGTTTCCTTTTTTTTTTAAAAAATGTCTAATTTTTCTCTTCAATAATTTCAGCTGTTCCTGAATGCGACCGAGCATTGAATTTACTAGTGCTTCTTTTACCAAATGAAAACCGAGCCACATTGTTGGCACTAATATCTTTTCTATCTCAGTTAATCATCAATCAAGCATCCAACAAAATGTCTGCTCACAATGTTGCCATGATAGTTGCTCCATCCTTATTTCCACCCAGGTATTTTTTCTCCCATTGTTCTATTATTTTTTCCAAACGGTTCTCACCTATTTTGGTATTGACCTAAAAATTCACAGGAACAATAGAACAATTGATTTCATATGCTATTATTAACCCGCAGAGGCAGAAAATATTTTCCTCTTGTTAGAGATTTATACAAATGTTAAATGACTTCTCTCTTCAAAAATAAAAGGCGAGTAACACTACTTCCTAGAAATAATATTTGGCTCAACTCGAAGTGCTCACAAAGTTCATTACTTGTGTATATTTGGCCAAAAGTGCTTTTACTGATACTATTCAAGATACTTCAATTGATGAAAAACATTCCTGGAATGAATGATTTATGAATATTTGTCCGATGCCACCCAATTATGAAGGTATTTAACAATTTATGGTTTATGATTTGTTCAGTGTTAGCTAAACAGTAGACCATCAAAATCTTGAGCCATAATTTTTGGTAAATTGATAGCTCAGGCAGTGATATTCTCTAATGTCATGTATCTCTCATGCTTTGTAAGTGAGGAATCCTCAATGTAAAATAATTTGTTTTCTTGCGTTAAGATTTTTTATTTCGTTCTTTTTTTCAGTTACTTACGCTTGGATAAAGAGGATTTACAAGCCCAAGTTAAAGTTGCTGCTGTCAGTTGTCGATTGACCGAAAAACTTCTTGAGTGTGGGGAATCATTATGGGTTGTCCCTCCTTCTCTCATTGCCCAGTTGAGGCATAACAATGACCAGTTGCGGTATCGATTAAAAGAGAACAAAAAGCCTGTAAGTTACCAATTTTCAAAGCCCCTAAAATGCGAAAAATACTCTTTTCATTGAATACATACATTTGTATATGAATTGTGAATTTTTAGGAACCTTTAAAAATGCCAGCCACTTGTATTGAAATGATGCCTTGTTCTATGTTAGTAAAATTTTAGGTCCTAAATTTGTAATGATTGTACTAAAACTGAAACTTAGGCTCCAAAGCACCTAGAGCTCTGCTGTGTTCCCCACATATAATTCACCTCTCTCTTCTCATTCATCAAGTCTGTGAGAGTGACTTAGCAATTTTAAACACAATCTTGACAGTTAACAAGCATGATGTAATTATAAAATGGAGAGCTTAACACTGAAGTTCATCAACCAAATGTTGAAAAGAAATTCATAGTGTTCGTAGTTGTATCAAGGTTAACGTCTGTATTTTAATGACAAGAATCACTATATTTCACGCTTCAATTTCTAGGCTTTAAATTATTTTTCAAATATGCAAATGGTTATGGTATACGTTACAGATGAATGGATTTTATGCTCTAAATTATTTGTTTCCAATTTTTGTACCTACTTCATCTATTTTCATTGGTTTGCTCTTAGATGAAGAAACTACTAGGAAGAAAAGATATCCGTGATTGGATCATGCGCAAAATTGACAATGAAGTCGATTACCAAGAAGGCATAGTGAGGGTGAATGCTCCACAGTTTCTTTTGTCTCAAGAGCCGATGGTTCTTTCGGACACAACAACAGCTGGAGATGTCGTTCTTAAGTAAGAATAGTGATTTGTTCAATTTAGTTCTGATTTTAAGTGTCAATTTTCTGAAACCACAATAGCAATCCTTTGCTGGCGTAATAATTTAAGAAAAGATAATTTATCAATAAGCACAACCCCTTTTATTTCCCTGAGAAATACAAGAGTTGCATCTAACGTAGAATAAAATTAAGTAGCAGCGAAATATCTTCAGTGAAAGATTGGTGATCTACAGAGATTATAATGCCATTTATTATTTCTTGTCCTATCGCTCTTTAAATGTTTGGGTTTGACATTTGCACTCGAACACTTGACATGAGAGATATGTCAAGAGAGTCCCATACCTATGTTTTTGATTCTATTCTAATCCTCTCCTCTCTTAGGGGACAACTAGAAAAATCTAATTGTAGATCAATCAATGCTGTGGAAAAACAAATTGACAGCTCATACTTAATTTTATGACTTCTAATGTGTAGGAAAATGAACTTCGGTCGGACTAATTTCAAATTTTTAACAGCACTGAAACTGTCAGATATTTTATTATACATTACTGCACACATCCCTCACCATTTTAATCATGTATTTTCTGTCCTATAGGTTAGTTGAACGAGGTATTCAGAAATTTGACTCAACTCCTTTCAAACTTGGTCGTCGTGACATCAAGTCTCGAGCTCTCTCCGAGCTTGCTCCCAACGGAAATTTAAGCTGTTTACTGACTACAGCAGATCCAGATATGGCCTTGGCAACTCACTTTTTGTACGAAGTCGGTGGCAATATTGGTACGTCCCTAACTTGAATGTATTTAGAAATGTTGCTTCAAAAATTTTTTTTTTTTTTTTTTTTTTTTTTTTTTTAGGAAAAAGTGGAACCAAGTTTTTTTGCACCAATGTTTCCCAAGTGATATTTGGGAAGTTCTCTAACATATTCCTACAGCAAGATCAAAATCATACCCTGTTTCTTTGAACCATGGTTCAAAAACAGGGTTTAAAAGTTGAAGCAACATATCATTTTTTATGTTTGTATTTCAAATATTTGAAGCTGGACTTTTAGATTTTTAATATTTGTATAATTTATTGTGCTCGATACTGGATGGCCTGACAAATTGGGCCATGCCCTCATCGTTTGTAGAAGGAGAAGCAGTACGCAGATGCAATTTCCTTGCTTTTTTTATTATTCTGTGGTTCACAAATAGCATGTAAATCCTTGGGGAGGATTTTTAGTCGGTCTCAGTTTCTATAGATTTCTCACATTTTTTTATTTTTGAACGATAGCCTTCGTAAGGCTGAACTGAAACTGACCAGTAATTCAAAACAATTCAGACTGGTAAAAATCAGTAATGGAATTATCATAGCAAAATGTGTGACTCATTCTTAGATCTGAACGAATTAAAGCTCGTAATTTTAGGAAACAATGTTAAATACAATTTTATTATTGGGAGGGACTCATAAGAGAATAAGTGCAAGGGAAAGTGCTCAGCTAAAATGAGTTCATCTAAAGGTATATTATTTGCAACAAGAGTGGACTTTGCACCCAGCGAATAATTTTTGAAACAGTCTTAAAATTCATCCTTCCAACCTGTTACCATCTCTCAATCAACCTGAGAATTTATGCCAAACTTAATCCAATTTCAGGTCAACGCCGCATAGAACAGTCTGCCAACATGCTCACAGTCTACCAAGAAAATCCTAATGCTCAATGGTACCTCCGATGCGATCACAAAAATGGGAACAAACAACTGCTAGCACTAAAAAATTAATCATGTCTTACCTATTTTCCTTTCTTATGAGTACGTATCAGTGAGTACGTATTATTACTTTTTTTAGTAAATGTTTTAATTTTTTTTTTTTTTTTCATGTGTCAGAGATTTGTATATTTTGCCTGTTAGTGACTTTGTGATATCTTTTTTACTCAATGTAACTTAGGTAATTCCATTAATTTAGAGATTACAAACTTTGGACCTCTTTGTGATTCGGACCTCAGAATCATTCTTTCAAACTTAACAATGTAGCTCAATCGTAACATTGATAATTCTTCTTTACGTAATTCTGATCATGCCTCCCAATTGGGACGAAAGATGAGAATGCAATATTGCACCATTCCACACTTACTACTTAAACCAGATCGAACTATGAATTACCCAAGCACTTATTTACAAATGCAAAAATTGTGCGATAGAGGTAAATATTGTATTGCTCACTATCCTAGCTCCATTTTTTTTGCAATTTGCATCAAAAAGTCAATTTACTAGTTTTAAGGTTATTGTTGAGTTTATTTTATTCTACATAGTACAATTTAGAATAAGTAATTTTTGTTCTGAAGCTAAAATCAGTTTTCATTTTTTAAGTGAAATGAAGGGATTCTTAGAACTGACTTAAATAACTCAGCGGAATTCAAAGGTGCAATCAATTACTCTCGAACATATTCTCTCATGATGCAATTCTTCTTGAGATAACTCTCTCGAATGAAGGTTTTAATTTTGTATGGAAGCAAAATGAACTTGATGTCTGAGACAATTTTTGTAAAGTTATCTAATTGTAGAAAAAAAGTTGTAAAGCTTGTGATGAGAATAGAACAAAATTGTAAATAAATTTAGAATAATTTTTTAAAATAGTTTTGAATTTTTATTTTCCTTGAAGTAGTCAATAAAATAATTTAAAAGCAGTTGATATATTTTTAATGAATTTAATAAAGACTTACATCCAAATGTTACATGGGTACATAAAACAGAGAAAAAGACCTAGACTCATTAGTAAATCAAGAGCACATTTATGTCAAACGATTTGGGAAAAACTCATGTTTGCATTTTGATTCTGAGAACACACTTGATCCACTGAACTTATTGATTGATATTTTATTCTGATTCTTGGGCTGTAACAATAGTTGCTCCTTCATCAGGCACTTTTCGTAGTGTGGCCCCATATGAATTGCTTTGTGATTTAGGTGAAATTCAAGGACGAATCGAAACTTTTAACAAACTTCTAGTAACATTCAACTTTGTATCTTTGGATACAGAGCTTTGCAAGCGATTCTAAAGATTTGATCCTACCAAAAATACTGAAGAAAATATTTTCCAATTTTAACAAAATTCAGTGTAGAACCCTATCATATATTTGCAGAATTGCAATATACTTTCTTTGGTATTTCTTATTTTTTATGTCAAAGCTGTTTTTCATCATGATGATGTGCCAGAGACTTTTTAAACCTTTTTTAATCACAATTTAAACCTTATGAAGCCTCCCTGAGGCAAAGACCTGATAGAGGAATGACCATGAAGCACCCTAAGCATGAATATTAGGCCTAATGTTATGTCCCTCAACTTCTGGAATGTAAAATTTTATCATAGATATTTAATGGTCATAGATATGAAACTTTCTTAAGAAAAACATTTGAGCACACACATTGTATTTTGACACATTTGTCACTCAATATTTCCACTCCTAACAATGTTAAAAGCTAGTACATAATTTTAGTATTTACTTGCAATATGCAAGCTCTTCAAGTGTACTGAAAATCATGATGGCGCTTAGTTTTTGGACTTGAAATTATTGAATTGGAACAAAAAATCAATAAATGAACAACCAAAAACCATATCATAAAACCACAAAGCTTGTAAAAGTACTACAAGAACTGGAGTAAAAACAGGTACTGCATCGGAGCTGAGTTTTCCCTCCCTTTAACATCATTCGAAATACACACACTTAATTCATACATAAAATGCTAGAATCTTAACTGTTTGGATGGAAGAACCTACGAGAGTCTATCACAGTTGGACGAACTTGGGCACTACTTTGGCACTGAGAAAAATCAACGTTAACTTTATTTCCTTGGTCATTGCGACTCACATTTGATTTATAGAATGCATGGCCAGGACTTTTGATTCAAACATGATTGAAATGACTTGCGTGCCCATAAAATGAACCCCCATGAGGGACTGTATTCATAGTCATTCTTTAGACAGCTCCTCTTCTTAGGAAGGCCCCATATGGTTTACAATATAATTAAGGGAGACTTTAAAAAGATCCTTAATGTAGCATTATAAAAAGGGCGATTTTAGTGACTATTGAGTGAAATTCCACAAAAAAATTTCAGGAACAGGCTGTTACAAGGGATTAAAATGATTAGCCTCTGCAAAAAATTGTTAATACAGAAGGATGAATTTTGCAAGTTTTGAAAATTTGAAGGTTCGCTTGTCGTTACCTTAAAGTTTGTTAAACTTATAGAATTTTTATTCCGTACTTTGGATTTTTTTTGAGGACAAGGTTTTGTAATCACTGTGAGGATCTATTTCCATTGTTTAGCTGTTAAATTTTACTCAAATTGTGTTGAAATTGTTCTTTTTATTATGCTTGGTTAAGAATCTTCTTAAACCTCCCTTAATCACCATGTAAACCATATGGAGCTTCCTACAAAAAGGAGCTGTTTTTAAGGAACAGCTATGAGTATGGCTTTATAATTATTTTTGACATCAGAGATAGCTAGCGAACACAAACCTCAATTCAAATGCCATTAGACACAAAAGATGAGGACATCATCTATCTCTTTTGAGCCTAGCTACGAAAGTTGCCTTGGTTTGGAGTCATAATGACAATGAACAGAATTAATAAAGTTTGACTGCATTTTTGCTTTGATGGATGCTGCACATGCCAGCCTGAAAATATTACAAATGCCTCTCATAAAATTATAAATTGAAAAAAACATAGAAAAAATCTGGAAAGCTTAAAGTAGGTCCAGGGATTGAAATAATACTGCAAAAGGTAGAAGAACAAAATCGGAAAGTTCTTCAGAGATTAAACAATATAAAAGAGCCTTCAGTATTTCAGCATTTTTGAAACTGCAGATTGCTCGATGAGCAAAATTTTGCCAAAACGACTTCTAAGTTATTAAGACCCTTGAATATTCTGCCCTATCCCAAAAAATCCACATTTGTAAGAGATATTAAAATAACAAGACCATGTACCTAATAAACATTAAAATCAATGACAATGGTGCAAACTGTTGGTGCATCTATAAAAAAGAACAAGAAATTAGGTAATAAGATGATAGTAAAACTGTCCAGGCAGATTTTTCTAGACTCGTAAATTTGCAGCCTTTTTAAAATTTCCTGCAGTTATATAAGAGAGGCCTTAACTTATAGATTGAAAAAAAAAAAATCTAAGGGCATTAATACAGAAGTAACTGACAACACTCTTCACTAGTTTCATTAACAAATAGAAGATTGATAAATGCTGTTTTTACAAGTAAACAATTATTTTTTTATTGTGTTCTGTAGGGATAGATAAAAAGGTGGGATTAAGTAGCTTTGAAAAAAAAGTAAGAAAAATTGAAATGCATGATGAGATTTTTGAGTTGAAAACATGAGATCGGCATCCTCCAAGTAACTCATTTAGAAAGATCCATTAACAATGAGAAATCCACAAAAAAGTGAGATCTACTGGGGTGCCATGATATGAAAATATAACACTTTCAAAAATTTGAAAACGGAGTTGATCACAATTGCTGAGTAGCGTGGAAAACAAAGAGAATGTAAAAGCAGCCCGAAACGGAAACGACAATCGAAAAAACAGGAAAATGCGGAAACAATGCTAAAATACATATAAGTATTTTAGCCTTGTTTCCGCATTTTCCTGTGTTTTCGATTGCTGAGTAGATTTGTATTATTCTTGTGAAACAAAATAAAATAAAAATAAAAATGGGCAGCTTGCTTGCCCTGCAACTATTTTGATGGAAAGGAAGCTTTAGAGCCCCTAGAAAATTGAGTTTCTTTTATGGCATTATTCAATTACACACAATAACAATATAAAAGTAGATGAGAAAGCCAACAAGATTTTACACCTGGAAATCGCAGGAAACAATAAAACAATAATCAGTTCATCTTTGACCTATGCAAATCATAACAAAAAATTGTATCATTTACTCAAAACAAGTTACATGGTTACTTTAATGATTATACGCTCTTACATATTAATTTAATAAAAATAACACAAAACATTTTTTTTTTTTTAAAATAACTTATGGGGAGATGAGATTAAAAACAGCGATGATCAATTTATATAAAATATATGAAGAACGATCAACAAATTCTGATGAATACCAAACACATTAACCAAACACAGTCCTGTGATATTCGAGAGATGTGCAATGGATCAAGAGGAGAATAAATTGTAAATAAATAACTTCATACATCCCTCTAAATCAAAGAGCTCGCTAAAAGTTCCTAAATCCTAAACTTGGGCAACGGTCACTTGAGGAAGGCACATGTTTTATTCAAGATAAGATGTATACTTCGACAATAGCTTACTGATTTCTTTGTCCATTTTGATATCCTGAAAAATAGGAAGAAAAGTCAAAATTGGTACCAGCAGACAATTACATTATGTACACATACATTACGTATGCATTACAAGTACATTATGTATACATTGCTAATAGAGAGGAGAAGGAATAGAAGGAAACAGGAACAGGAGGAAATACGGAGGCATTCGATATTCAATTAGTAGATGCAAATATAAAATTAATTGATTGGAATTTTTTCAACCCTCCCTTCCCTTCTGGTCTACCCTGATGTGTTGTTTATTTTTTTATCTTAGAATATTTTCACAAATTTTTTGTACATGGGCTGCCTGCTCTTAGGGCAGACCTTTTTGCAAAGCATAATTCTAAACAGAGTATTTCACTTGCAAGTCTTCAATCTATGCACAAAGAGCAAAGGACTACACACAGATTAGTAGGAAATTCTGTGCCGACTAAATTGCAAGATTTTTTAATGAGAGGTCCTTTAAAATCTGCTGAGTAAAATGAGCTTTTGGAATCGAGCTTTTAAAATTATACTTCCTCTGAGCCAATCTTGAGAGTTTCGGATCTAAAAAAATGCATTTTTCGGCAGTTTTGCACATGTTATCTAAAGGGAAAAATATAGGTGATCAAGGAGCGTGCTTTGTTTCCTGGTCTTGCTCCAACCGGAGAGAAAAGACGGCACGCCAACTCAATTAAAAAAAAGGCTCCGCATTTTTGACTCAGCAACAGTGCTACTTCTCCTTATGATATCACACATTGAATTGCCGAAAATGCACTTGGTAGACCCGATTTTTGTGAGATAGATCCGCAGAAAGTTCGATTTTAAAAGCTCATCTCACTCAGAAGATTGTTAAAAAATATCAAATCAAAAAGCTCGAAACTTAGCCAGTGCCGAATTTTTTTGATATTCTGTGCTTAGCTTTTACATGAGGAATACTAGGTAAAATTAAAAGGAAGTGTAGATCACTCCAAGACATCTCCACTCCATTATGATTTTCAATAATTGATTGATGTTAGTTAATTACATCAGACTTGTTTTCTGGCTGTAGAAAAAACCATGATGTCTAGAATTCTTGATTTTATACATTCCTTGATTTTCATGGAAAGTCTTTAATAAAAACCTGGGATTTCCCTTCAATTTCCTCTAGGATCTCTGGGAAAAAACAATATTTTCCCGGAAAATTGGTTAAAACGTTCTTGCATGTTTCGTCTGATTCTTTGAGACCAAGTCAACATAAATGACCAATTTTATGAGTCAATTCACTCACAGATAAGAGAGAGATAGGAATTTCCCCGTTTCTCGCAACAATTCCCTCATTTTTCTAGGTATATTTAATTTCCTGATAAATCCCAGGAAATCAAGGTTTTTTCAGGTCCTTGACACTTTAAAGAAAACAAATAAGATTATCACCTGAGGACTATCACTCTTGGTTTTGAGAGCTTTGTCTAACCATTTTGCTGCATCTTGATACTGCTTTTCATGAATGTAGCACTTGGCCAAGAGGAATTCATTTTCTTTCCATGGATCAGCATTCAAGGCTTCAGCTTTTAAAAATCCTGCAATTGCATCTGTTACTTTCCCTTCTGGCACTTCAGAGAACAGCCACTTTGCAACTCTCCTCTCCATTGCTGATAAGATAGCCACCTACAAAAGACCAATATTAAAATTGAACAATTCAATATTTTTATCAACTGTTAAAAAAAAACTCAGAAAGGCCATTTGTAAACTACATAATGCAACCAAGAAGTTTGGCCATTTTCCTATTATATTTGAAAAACATAGTAATTTCAGTGAGGGGGGGACACATGTTTTCAAGTCTCGCCCAAAAAAACCGAATTTTGTTGTGTTGGTTAACTTTTCTTTGACCAAAAACTCAATTTTGACAACATAAGATAACTGAAGCATCCGGTAATCAGTGGTTGAATATTAATAACATAACTGTACCTTAAAAAAAAGGATTAAATTTTAAATTTAGGAGTTAAAATTGTCAATTTTTTAAGCTATACTGCAAACTGGCTCTTTCTCGCCATTATGTGAGATATGTATTGAACACCATAATACTTTTCAGATGAAAAAGAAAGCAATGTAGGTAAAAGAAACTTGTACTAAGATAAAGTGTTTAGAAGTATGGCCACAGATTTATATTGGAATAAAAGGTAATCCATTGGCAAATGTTAAAATCATCGGACTGTTGTGACTTACCAATCACTTTGATAAATGCAAAATTTAAGCATTAAAGCTTTCCATGATTTTTTTTCTTTAACATTCATATTGACAATAAACAAGGATAGACTCAGTTCTGAGTGCTGCATTGTAAAAACACCTACCTCATACTGGAATCTAGCTAGTAAATGATGTAAAATTGGGTCATCATCTTTTAATTTTAAAGCTTCATCAATATGCCTCTTGAACTCATAGCCATTCTGTATTTTTTCTTTGGTTCCAGAGTAACGTCCTTTAGAGCCAATATTGACTGCATACCACTTGTGAGCTTCTGGACTTCGATTGTTCAATTCAAGAGCTTGTTTACCATAATCAATACCTAAAGAAAGAACCAATGACACATTTGAGTAAAAAAAAGACTTAAAAAAAAAATAAAATAAAATAAAATAAATAAATAAGAGGTAAATTCTGTAGTTTAGAGGACATTCTGCAGAGGGTGATCTTGTCCAATATTTGTTGCTGAATTCAAATTTAAACTTTGAAGAAACGTATTACAGAGGTCACTGCTTAAATAGGTCAAAACTTACAAAACAAATATCACTTAAAATAAAGCTTTTTGACACTTGCTGTTGTCAGAAAATAACAGAAAACAATTTGATAGTTATGAGTAAATTTATCACATACTTCGACTGATGATCTTATCTAATAAGTTATTATCAGTCACACAATATCATCAATTCACTTAATATTCAAACTCAATATCAAACAGTGTATTATGCTATGTCCTAACAATGGAAAACACTGAAAAGCTTATACAAATATAAAATAAATAATTTCTGAGCTGACTTGTATTAAACACTATAAATCTTGAGTTTCATCAATCATCAATCAAAAAAAAACTGAACTTGGAACCAAATTTTTTCTGCTGAATTTCTCAGTCTTTGCTTTATCTTCCTTATTTTCGAGTCCTTGTGTGGACTGCAGTTTAACTGAGGAGAGCTTAGAGGCGATTCTCATTACTTAAATGGAGATCATTGCTAAAAATAATTTTTGAAGATGCCTACTGATAGTTTACGTAACTAGTTTTGAGTTAAAGACAGGTTGAAATTAAGGAGAATTAAGGAGATAGTTACAGTTTGATAAAGAGGTTCATGACTAATGCAAGGGAGCGATAAAAAAAAAAGGCGAATGAAAGTTTTTTTCTTACCACTTTCAATGAACTGCTTGTACTTGTCGTTATTATTTTCAGATTCCTCATACTGGCCTAATAGGTGACAAACTTTAGAAAGTCTCCATAATACTTCTGGGTCTTTCCCATCGAGCTGAAACAATGGAAAGATGAATTTTTTGAGAGATGAAAATTGATGAAGGTGGTTCCTCAGCATTTTGAAGAGCAATTCAAACGGCAGAAAGATTTGCGATATTCACTCAGTCCACTTTATCAGAGTTACTTCAGCACATGCTTGAAAGCATCTGAATATTTTATCATGAAATTTTTCATACCAGTGAAACTTACATGAATTTCAAAGTCAGGAATTTTCCATCATTTCGTGATGAAACATTTACCAAAGATCTATGGAGGGGACACACCGAGAGCAAATGTACGGTTATGCTGGTCTTTAAATTTCTGTCAGTTCATTTACATACAGTTCGGGCCACTTCTTAGTGTTTTTTTTTCATTTATACGCACAGTTTGGGGTATGTGTTTCTCTCGTTTGGGAGCGGGCGGATGCATCTAGAGGAGATGCGAATCTCCAACCAGTTCGATAATCATTTTTTCGGGTTTCCCTTGTTTTATTAAGAGAATTGTTCAGCAGCAACGGTAGATGGCGCCAGGATCACACTTTTGTGTCATGCCTCGGGTCATATTCATGACGGCGTTTTAATGCCGTCTTGGATTTTGCGGCATATTAAGTTGGGTTCACTGCCAAGTGTGATCTGCTGTTGATGTCTAATAAGGCCCAAACCGGTATAGATCTCTTGGCATGACTCCAACTTAATATTCCAATGCAAACTGCCTGAGCTGAACACTCTCCCCCCCCTCAGTTTCGTACTGGTGCGCATTAGAGTTCAAAAATTTGATTTTGACTCTAATTTTAATTTTTGGAATTTCTTGGCTTTGTTTCCCCGCGAAATGGTGTGGACCTAGCACCATTTCTCCACCTTGTTAAATTTCTGTCTGAACAATCTTCCTCATGATAATAAATCTTGATTGACACTAAGACTAATACTGAAATTTCAATGTTTTGACTTAAACCTATAGGTACAGTTAATGGAGCTAAGTGAGCTTGTAAGACATACCTCCTCATTCATTTCTAAAAGCAGTCCATACGCTTTGATTTTATCTGGATTTGAGCCTTTTAAAAGATGATCGATTCCACGTAACATATCTTCACTTTCTGATTCAGTCCTCCCATGCCTGTTGACAATAAATCCAAATTAAACATTTCAGTTGTGTTCACAATAAGATTGATATTACGAAGATGCGTTTTTTTCGGGTAGGGCATATATCTGAAAGCCAGAGAAAAGTTGGGGATTTTCATTTTCAAAATATCTAAAGAGTCAGGGAGTTTTTAAATCAAAGAAAACTCGTCCCCTTTTAACAGTGATGATCACGATGGGTAGTGATTCCACTCGTTTTTACCGATAGTGGCCCCATAAATTGCACTATTTGGCAACGCTGCCCCTTCCGGAAATAAAACTTCAATAGGATACGATTTTTACATATTGCCAAATAAATTCATTGAGAAAAATCGGAAGAAGGTTAAGTATGTAATGACCGCATGAATTGTCTTCATTTTATTTATACACTAGGGGCCTGTGGCCGCTACGCAGCCGCCAACCACCAAAAAATAAACTACACGTAAAAAATCGTAGAACAACCATTTTCAAGTTATTTCATGGATGAATGGATTCAAAAACCGACGAGAGCACGCGAAAGAAAGCGTATTTATATTTGATTGCAACGTTATAAACCACTTTTAATGCCTTATTTTTGAACAGTGTTTTTAAAAAGCTACACATACAGTTTTGCTGAAGAATTCCCGAGTTTTTCCTTTAAAAAAGCTACACACAGGTTTTTAGAAGTTTCAAAATTTCTGGAATGATTTAAAATAAAATCACAAAAAATTTCGACGCGATATTTTCGTTCGTTACTTCTGGTTTTTTTCTTCTTTTTTTTTTTATCAAACCAAAATTAATTTTAAGCGATTCAAGTTTCAGAGTAGCTGCATCGTTTAAACATCGACAATATACCCTTTCATCGCATATACCTCTCGCATCGCTTTTGGTGCAATGCGAGAAGTATTCACGCAGTCCAGTAGGCGCTAACATGCGTTTGATGCGATGCATGAAGTATTCCTGCAGTCTTGAAGGCGCTGAATCGCGCGATTATTTGAACTCGCGTTAGGATGATCGCGGCATCGAACAATGGGGCCTATGTTGTGTTTCGACGCCGTATGAGCACTCCGACGTTGCCTCGTTTCTCCCGATAAAATATTTTCTTTGAGAAAAGTTAGGAAAGTTCTGTGTGTTCGCTTTTTTAGATTGACTGGACCATTAAACATGGTACGAATTTAGCACTCAGATACACGATTTCTTCGCCAGAATTTCACGTAGAACACGATTCGCGCAACGAAAACTACAGAAATCAACTTCTAGCTAAGATATTTGTTTGTTTTTATTGTCCATTGGTTTCGGGAACTGAATTGCCCGGCCACAAAAAAAAAAAAAAAAAAAAAAAAAAAAAAAAAAAAAAAAAAAAAAAAAAAAAAAAAACCCTACGCGAGTCAAATTGCGCACTACAAAGGCTTTACCTTACCAGGAAAATCTTACACCAGAGGCAAAGTAAGTGTGGGGGAAAAAATTATTTTCAATTAAAGGGGAACTGGGCGGCGACCCCTCCCCATCCCAACCACCATCACCACCGCAAACCTCGATGAAAGTTACACTGGACTGTGACAGACGACAAAATTGAGAGAAGGATTACCTGCTGGGGACTGCCTCCTCGACGTCGGAGCTGAAATCGTAGAACTCGCTTTCTTCGTCGTCGGTATTGACCACGGAGTACATCGTGTCTGTTGTTATACTTTGCGTGTCTGCGTTGCTCCTCACACGTCTCAGTTCGGAACTTCGCTTCCTGCCACTGAAACAACAAATAAGAGACAAGCATGAAAAACGACGGAAACCTCGTCAGGGGTACCTGAAAAGTACATCTCTTAAATTAGTACCCGGTGCTCGGGCGTGTTTTGGAATTACGAGATTTTAATGACTGCCCCCCCCCCCTCCCTTCACAACTCCAAGCATCCTCACCAGGGTGCCTACTAAAACAGGCTGGCCAAAAATCAGTACTTTAACAGTACTTTCGGTAGGTACATTCCCAAAAAATTCAGTACCTCCTCAACAGAAAAATTCAGTACTTTTTCAATACCTTCAACTGACGAAATTCGAAAAATTTGAATTTCCCGCTTAAATTGCGACAAAAATGAAACAAGTTTCGGGCTTTCTTGCAAAATTTCCGCACTTTTCCAGTACTTTCGGACCGCCCTTCCAAAATCAGTACTATTTCCGGACTTTTCCGAAATTCCGGACTTATGACCCTCCTCACTCCTTCAGGACGGTCTCCGCGATCTTCGATACGAACGAGATGACGACGGTGCTGAAATTTACTGGGAGGTGTTTCGACGAGGTTTGTCCTGGGGCTCCTAGCCAATTTTCGAGGGAAAAATTCTTTGATTTCTCCAGGTTTTCCAGACTGGATTGAAATCAATCCTTGACGTTCATTTCTAAATTCTGAATCCTGCATTCGGTGGCGAGAAATTCAACGAACGAAAATTGAAAGAGTGGAAACTCATTTTCTCTTAGCCTTTAAAAACTGCCTCGATTCCTCCATGATTTCAAGTCGTTATTTTCCCCCGGGCATTTCCAGGTTTCCCATATCACCGAAGAACCCTCGTCCTCTAGTTGCTTTGGTTTATTTACTCTCTGGGAGAACTTTAAGATACGCAATTAATTTCCAACACTTTATGCGAGCTCGATTCATTTAAAAAAACGAAAAAACAAACAAACAAAAAAACAAAACAAGCACACAAAACTATACTTCTTCACGTTAACTGTGTTCGCAAAAATTTGGGAGAAGGAAAAATGTCTCAACCATCCCTGCTGTCTTTCCTAACAGGACTCATGATCCCGTATTTTATGCGCCCCTGGAATGAATGAGGAATTTAAACATTCGTTGAGGGTAGTGGTGGGTCTGAGGATGAGAGTCCAAAAAGTTACTCAACGGGACATAAAATTGGAAAAAAAGAAAAAATGTCACCCGTGAGTAAGCCTCTACGGCCTCTTTAACAACAAAGATTGACCGACTAGAAAAAAGAAGCTGTGACACACAAATTTCAAGCTATTACTTATTTTGCGACGACAATAGTTAGACGCAAAAAGGTAGATTATCCTGACATAATGAGTTCAAAATTGAAGTACTTAAGTGACAGAATAAAATTAATGTAACGGTGCTTTTACAGGGCACATTCGTCAAATTCTCGAAAGGAAACACAAGATTCACAACAACTAAATACGCGATACTCCTAGTCCAAAAAATGTACCTAGGGAATAACACAAGAGAATGGACCGCACTGATGCGATGTTTCTCTGAACACAGTATGTGCCCCCCCCCCTTCTTGTTTCTCGCAGAAATCTCTCTGGCCAATTACTTATCAACATTTCTAGATGATAATAATAATGTATCTGTCGTGTTCCCGTCTCCCCTCTTCATTCTCATCCCTCGATGAAGAAAAATGAGAAAAGAGAATAGGCACCGGCAAAGGCGTGACTGATTTTGAAAGTGCACGAAATCGGGAAGTAGATAGCGGGGTGCGAGAGCGCATAGATACTTGTAATCGCAAAATCAAGTAATGAGATGATCATACTATTAAATGTAGACTTTTTTTATTATCCAGGGTGAACACTTTTTTCTTTTTTTTAAAACGAGAATTGATCAAGTTTAATATTAGAAAGGTGCACATTGGTGTACGCAACCCTCAAACCAGGGCGGGCAGTCCGGTTCGGTCAGCTTTCTTGAGTATACATACCAACTTCGAATCAACAAATATTGCATGAAAAAGGAGAGGTTCAGAGGATTTTGAAACCGAAGGTTTGAGAAACGATCACAGCTGCCTGGATTGTGATTCAAAACATGTGGTGATATATGGACTACATTGTGCAAATCGGAACTATAAATTCTAGCCCGGTTTAAAAACAACGTATGTGCCATTAATTTCCCTATGCACATAGGTGTTTTTCCAAAAAATCCAGAATGTATAGTTCCAAATTGCAAAATGCAATCCATATGATTTCACAACCAGCATTTTTAAAGTTTTGATGAGCTGCTTGAAAGAAGTCGGAGTCATAGGAAACATTTTTTGAAAAGAACACGAGACTCAGCGGAGAACGAGAAACATCATTGCGAGGTGAAATCTTCTCAAATAAATTTTAGAGATTGACGGAAGCGTATTCGAAAGTGGTTTCTCACTCGGGACGATTCGACGACGCAAGTTCCACGCCGAGCCGAAAGCCATGTGACGTCATTTATCACGCAATGCAAGGATGCCACAAACAGGTTGAAAAAATAAGGATCATGAAACTCCGACAACCGTACCCACTGGCAGGTAAATTTTGAGTGAAGTATGGGGGAAAATTAGTCTCAAGAACTCCAGGAAGCTATGTGAGTACTTCTCTCGGATTTTTTAGAGCTGGCGCGGTAAATTTTGCCAGTGGTGAAAACCAAAAATACACACTCGATAGGAGACTTGTCTTGCAACAGGAGAGATACAAGTTGTTAAAGCTACAATCGGAAACCCCCGTTTTTACATCATTGTAAAGCACTTCTGTGTTTTTCTATGCTAATAATTTCTGCGCTGATTTTGACGAATACATCGCTCCCTAAAAAAAATCGCGTGGTTTTAACTTTCATAATTGATTTTTGAGATAAAAAATCAAAAAGAATGAATTCAGGGTGTCTACTAGCTGAAACAAGCTGGCCAAAAAAATCCGTACTTTTACGGTACTTTTTCAGTACATTCCCAAGAAATGTTTCACCTCCTTTACATAAATATTCAGTACTTTTTCAGTACCTCCAATTGACGAAATTCGAAAAATTTCAACAATTTGAATTTCTCACTGAATATGCGACAAAAATGAAAAAAATTCCCGATTTTCTTGCGGAATTGTCGCATTTTTTCAGTACTTCCAAGCCTCCCTTAAAAAATATCAGTACTATTTCCAGACTTTCCGGAAATTCCGGACTTATAGACACCCTGATAATTATTTGGTGGGAGCAAACGAAGCTCAGAATTGGAAGAAAATGAGCGGGAGCTTCGACATCTGTCCGCACTGAAAAATTGACTTTTCTTACTCCACTTGTCGCCGCTTCAATCTCGACGTAGGATATTCCCGCTGATCGTCAGTCTCCTGCCCCACCGTATTCGGCTGCAAACATAATTTAGGCCGCCCACCGTCAATTTGCTGGCTAATACCAAAATAATGATCCTGCGGGTAATCAAAATTTATTCGAAGGAGTTCATTACCTAGTTTCCGGAGCCGTCGATCTGAGGTAGCCGAATTTTTTCGCGAGAAATAGGCTGAAAGGAAGCATGGATTTATCATTAGTCAAACTCTGGAAACTTGATGATTCCCGAAACCGCGTTAGTGATGGAAAGGAATTAGTGTCTGGTTAGGCGCACTACCGCAGATTTGAGTCGCAGATGCCCGTTCCGAAGGTGTACGATAGACGATGTTCAAGAGAGAAGATAGGAAAATAAAGGCTGAGGCCCAAAGTATCGCAACTGAGGAGAAAATCCGCTTCCAGATGTTTAGGTATCAGAAAATTGGTGATAAACTTTTGGTTACTCACAATCCGCAACTACAGAGTTCAAAAGAAAGCGATAAAGTAGTGCGTGCAGTTAAGTTAAATAAGGAGGGGTAATTGAGTTAAAAAAAGTAAAATCCGCAATTATATGACATGAGTTCGGAAAATACCGAAAACATAGGTAGATGAGAATCCATTCATAACCCACGAGAGGCGTTTTGAGAACAAAAAAAAAAAAAACATATATATTCGATGATGTTAAAAAAGACGACTCAAAAAGAATCCAGCCCAGAGCAAGTACGCTTCGACCTTGAATTTGTCGATTGGTTCCAGAGCGACTGGTGGCCGACAAAAATTTGACTAAACTTCACGGAGAAAAATATCCCACAGCTCCTACAGGAACGATCTCATCGGATTTCTTTTTGAGACGATCGGAATTTATTATCCTTATCCCGATGGGCTTCTGGTTACGAGCGCTAGAATACCATCGAGACATTGGAAATTCCAGCTATCTTAGAGAGAAATAAGGAAAATATGAACAGGAAGTTCCTGAAGAAATAGTTCCTGGGAAATAGTTTTCCGTGTGGAGAGTTCGAGCACAGGTAGCTTACGGAGGCATTTCTACGCGATTTGTGAACTAATACTTAAATAAAATGAATCCTCAGAATGCTTGCGACGATTGTACAACTTACTTTAAGTAGATTGAAATCTCTGTTCGCCGGATTATGTGTATGTATGAGCCGCTTTTACGGCGCGCTAGGGCGCTCTGCGACGCCTATTCTCCACAGGAATCTGTCATGGTAGAGATCCTCCGGAAGGTGGCATCTCTCCATCTCTTCATGGATGCCCTCTACCCACCGTTTGGCTGGACGCCCTCTCCGTCGCCTACCTGGGGGGACCCACTCCAACACCTTCTTCGGCAACCTGGTATCAGCCATTCTCTGCACATGCCCATACCATACCAATTGCTTGGTCATGATATCGTGCACAATCGTCCCCTCAACGCCCATTATCTCTCGGACACGTTCATTCCTGACACGTTCTCTCCTCGAGATTCCAGCCGATCTTCGCCAGAAATCCATCTCGGTCGCCTTGAGCATTTCTTGGGTCCGCTTCTTCAACTGCCACACTTCACTGCCATAGGTGATAATAGGCTTAACAACCGAGTTATAAATCCTCTTCTTGTTGTCTTTGGAAATCCTTTGGTCCCAAAGGATCCCATTAAGCATGGCGATGGCTTTCCTTCCTAGAAGATTACGGTCCCGAATGGCCTGATCCAGCTTCCCATCCGAAGTCAGGTTCACCCCCAGGTACTTGTATTGTTATCGCCGGATTATTCCGGTTGAAATACTCTCGGCGCGTAAGCGCATTCGCCAGTTTTCTTGTTCTGCTGCCTCCACAGTATGATCAGCTCTGATCGCGCGCAGAGTCCATTAAAATTAAGGTACATTTCGCTGGTTTCGCAATAGTTCGTGGCCCACATTTGAGCTAAAATGCTCCAGAATATTCATAAATTGTCTATACGTAGGCAAAAACACGAGGAGACCCCCCTTTGGACACTTCACACTATACCTTTGTTACGTTGTACCTTTGTTGTCAAGTTCAACTTCAAAAATAACCCAAAGTCCTAAAGTATACTGGCATGCTGAGGAAGATCGCCGTATGAACATTCCAGAGTTGCCAAATTCCCTCTCAGAAAATAGTTATTTTTGAAGAAAGTTACGAATATTTTTCCTTAAAATTTTCAGGAACTATAGGAGACATTGCGAGGAAAATTACCTGAAAAATTGGAAGGAAAATATTCATTAGTGTACCAGGAAATTTGTGTTTTGTCGAAGGAAATTTGGCAACGCCTGATGGTTCATACGGCGTTTTTGTCTTAGCACGGCAGTATAATGATAATACTAAAAATTTGCCACGGAGCAGAAACTTTTTTTGAGTGCTGGAAATCGTTTACCAATTTTACGACCCACCGAATAAGATCCTTGTGAGCACCCTTTGTATGCTGATTGAGGGAAATGATGATTCTATACGGAGGGTGAGAGGAAAATGAGAAAAGAGGGACAGATTTTTGTACCGCAGTCAAGGGGACTCATCTCAGGTGATGCAACTGTCGTTTTCATTCATTCAGAGCGCATAACTGCATCGATACGAAATTTCTGCTGACTCAGTGGCTTGCCAGACTCTGCAAAAAGGAGGAATTGCATTCTTGGATGTTCTTGTGTATGACATTGCGCGAAAGGTAACCTCATTCCTACAAATTCCATTCTTCAGCAGAAAAATCAGCGCGATTTTACAGAGACTTTCAAACGCCGCGCCTCCACTCAATCCAAGCGATCAAGGTTATTCAGTGACTTATTGCGAGCTGTTAAGAAATAAGTTTAATGCTCATGGTTGACCGATCAGTTGCTACTTCAGATTACTATCCAAGCTTTTCTACCGGCTATTGTCTCTTTTGTGCAGCAACGACACATTTTTTATTTAAACCAAAAGCCATGATTTGGACATCTTTTTCAACGTGAAAGTTACAAAAAGAGCATAACGGCGGTGTAAGTCCGCAACCATGTACCTATCTCGGTTTGCGACGTCGCAGACTTCCTGCTATACTGTATTTTTTAAATGAAAAACTGCTCAACGGAAATTCTTAAAAACTGCCCCGATTTTTCTTCTCAGCGTCAAGAAAATTCTGCGAAAATTTCAAGGAATGATGTTTAATTGTTGATTTGTTTTCCATTAAAATAAAGTAAGTAGGAGCAGAGCTTTTCAAACACTGCAAACGAGATACGAGGTTACAGACTTACGCCGTCGATAGGGCGCCGATTGAAATTTCTATGCAAATGCAAACATACATCGACGGTGAAACTACCAAACCACGTATCTCGGTTTGCGACGTCGCAGACTTCCTGTCATACTTTATTTTTTAAATGAAAAACTACTTAACATTCAGTCTTGAAAATTTCTGTGATTTTCCTTTTTGTGCGGAAAAAATTCCGTGAAAATTTCAAGGAATGATATTGATTTGGTCTACTTCAAAAAAATAAAATGTAAGCGTAGATTTTTAAACACCGCAAGAGTAGAATCAAATAAGTTTTGCTCTTGGAGCCATCGTTTTTTAAAAAAGTGACTTTAGTTATTTTAAGACTTCAGCATGTTTTCTGAAGTCCTCATACTCTATGAAAGTCGATTTTAATAGTGGTCAATCTTCGTTTTCAACAGAAATTTTTTTTTGGCCTCTTTTATCACTGGAAGTTAAATTTTTTGTCCGTACCGTAGACCAACTAAACAGGCTTGTTTTACTATCAATACGTGCGATAATAATACCGTTTTAAGTTTTTTTGCACTCATTGAGCTATATTCTTGTAGAAAAATAAAACAAAATACCCTCCAAAGTTTTTACTTTCAAAATTTAGCCCCCAAATTGCTCTAAAGTCCGATTTCTAGAATTTTGCGCCATCATTTTTCTCCTAAGAAAGCTAGGAAATGTAATTAAACGCTTAATTTTAATTAATTTCTTTAGAACTAACTTAGAAGATGTGGTAGACAACTTTTTTAAAGAATTTCTACAGGTATGCTCTTCTTAAAGCTACAAATTGTACAATTTTTTACTGGTCTACGGTACGGACAAACGGGCTACGGTAAGGACGAAGAGGCATTCGTAAATACTACTGTATGCAAGGGCCGAATTATAAAGAACTGAAATCATTGGGGAATAAACTGCTAAGTTATAGCAAAGCTTATAAGTGCCACTTTCATAAATTATTACAGGCAATAAAGGTAAAAAAGAGTAAGTAAATCAGTTCTTCAAAAATAATGAACTGCTTTTATTTTAAAGTAAACGCATTAAATAATTAGGGACAAATCTTAGAAGCTGAGTTCTTAAAACAAGCTTGACAACGTTAGAACGTTTTGGGTGCACTTTTACAAAAAAAGAAAGAAAACAAAAAGGTAACTTTATCGAAAATGTGGTCACAAATCACCTTAAATAAATATTTAAAGGACGATAAGAAAAAAATACGTTAGATATTAACGAGTAAATGTTAAACGAATAAATTGCTATGAACTTCAGACGAAAAAGAGGACTCAAAGTTCTAAAAGAAAAAATGAAAAAAATAAAAAGATGGCGATCCTCATGCAATCATCGAAAAAAAAAGCCTCCTTCTTCTAAGTCGCGTCGTACTAAAAAAAAATACGTCTCTCCCTTTTTTTTTTAATTCAAAATTTTGGTGATAGATAAAATAAAGTAAAGTGGGGTGATCTATCAAACAGTGCACCGATTTTTGGATGACTTTCGCATTTTGTCCGTACTTACCGGAGACCCGGCCGCATCGCGCGTGAGCTACGGGCTATACGGTACCGGACGGCTACGGGCTACGGTACGGACGGCTACGGTGCGGACAAATCGTGTGATTATTGGCAACGGTGCTCGGGCATATTCAAGCATGTGGTTGAAATTCTGGATTTGAGGTTAAGATATCAGAGCGTATCAAAAAATACCAAAATTCGAGAGTTTGAAGTGTTTTATGCATTAAAAAGGTAGGTATACGGTAAGGACATCCTAGATGGTCGTTAAACCTAGAAACTCATAAAAAACGGTCAAAATTTACTGTTTCATTGCGGTTTTTTTTCCTCTCCTCGACATCAGCGTATGATAGTCACGATAACGCAAAAAAAGTAAACAAAGTTCATAAGTGCTGCACTGTAACGGACGAAATGATGCTGAAAAAAGGGGGCTACGGTACAGGACGCGAATTCCGCAGACAAGGTTGCTTGACG